GCTTACATTTCAATAAGAACACTTGAATTTAAAAGAAAACTAATTCTGAAAACGTATCCACCCCCAAAGTAGGAGTTTTGAACATCGAATTTGCGCTCAAATTCAGGATTTACAGATCTTTAAAAAGTTTAATATGTCTCAAATGAATCTGAAAGAAGTTTTCCACAACACTGCATACTCAGTTCAACTACCTTACAAAGCCGGTCACTCCCTTTAAAGGTGACATTATTTAATAAAGGATGGAAATTCACAGAATTGATCTCTTTTACTCTGAGAAAGGTGTTTACGGTACCGTTGTGAATCGATTATACAATGCCTTCCATTAAGGTTACTTGAAATTACGCTGAAAATCCTAAAAGAAAATTGTTCATATAAAGTTTTGTGATATTTAGAAATTTTACAAAATCAGACTGATTTATACTACGCTGCTGAACTGGCTTTATATAAATGTAAATCGAATATTTCTTTACGCAACACGTTGTCTTTAAACCCCAACAAAAGGAAAGAAGCAGTATTGAGTAGAAATTAGAATATTAACGAATTTTAAACAAGTAAAAACTGCATTCTTTGTATTCGGTGCAAAGCCTGTTCTGGGTTCCGCTGCACACAAAAAAAAGTTTATTCACATTGCTGAAAACCATTGCAGATGCTTTTGTTAATTTGAGCCTTACATTACTCTTTTAAAAGTCTTAACGAATCGAGGACAAAAGATTTGATTTAAAAATCAAAGAAAAATATCAATCCAATTGAATCTTAAATACGCCACTTGTAACCGCTTTAAGTTTTTACACTTTAAGGTGGGGGGGGGGNACTGTAAGAGTTGGTGCCATTCCTTCCTTGCAGATATTTTACAATTTATCTTAATATCGCCTCGTATAGTTGAGCTCCATACATCAAATATTATTTAATATAAAGACAAGGGGACATATGGATAGAAGATACTAGAACCAGAAGCGTCTTGATGGGGGTAAGATGGGACGTCTCACTCCTCCGGAAAAATTAGGACCGCAAGAAGAGACCACCCTGTAAGATTTAATTTTCCTAATCACCGTAAAGGTTTTGTTTTAGTTTAAACACACTGTATTTTTATTTTATTTTCAACGCTATGTAAGTATTCCTAAACAGTAAACACCCTGTATGTTTTTATCATTTTTAACACCCTGTAGGTTTTTTGTTTTGAACACCATGTAAGGTTTGAAATTCCCTAACACCCTGTAGGGTTTTTGTTTTATAAGGTTTAATATTCCTGAACACACTGTTGAGTTTCACGCTCTAGAAATCCTGATTTGCATTTTGAATAGTTAGAGTGCATGGCATGTTTACTGTTTACAACAAAAATATCTAGGACCTACATAATATCTAGGATCTACATAATATCTAGGACCTACATAATATCTAGGACCTACATAATATCTAGGGCCTACATAATATCTAGGACCTACATAATATCTAGGACCTACATACTATCTAGGACCTACATACTATCTAGGACCTACGTAGTATCTAGAACCTACATAATATCTAGGACCTACATAATATCTAGGACCTACATAATATCACAGATACTAAAAGAAACAAAACTAAAAATGTCCAAAACCAAACTCAGATAAGACCCAAGATCCAAACCAGACCCAGAGAAGATACACGAGCTAATCCAACCCCAGAGATGATCCAAGAGTTAAACCAAACCTGGAGATGATCCGAGGTCTAAACCTAACCTGAGCAAAATTTTAAGATTTGAAACAAACCTAGGAAAGATCTTTAAGATCTATATCAAACCTGGAGAATATCCAAGATCTAAACCAAGCCAAGGAAAGTTCCCAAATTCAGATACAGATTATGTTGGTCATTAATTAATTGATTTGGTAAAAAATATAAATTTGTAAATAGCTAATAATACTAATACTAATAATTTAATTGGATAACACGACCAGAAACCCTTGTCCTGAATATAGAATTTGTTTAATGTCTTAATTTTAGTCTTTAGACCATATTATACGTTGA